TCTGTTCTACTGCATGGCCGTGAGACAAGACCACTGATGGTAGATAAGATGAGAAGGCTTCTGGTGTTCGACCACCGTTGTCTTCGAAGCACAGACCATATATCATGGTGTCACCACGGAGTAACGCGGAAGTCAGGTATAGAGTTTTAAGGAGGAATGAAAAGTCAGTTGGTAAGGTTGTGAGCCTTCATTGACCGAAATGGCTGGGACATGCGTTACTTAGCCCTAGTCACCATCTGCCTCGTCGTACAATGTTAGGTGAAGTATATTTGGGTTGAAGAAATACTCGGGCGGTCAGACTAAATCATGGCATCAGCGCGTGAAGTCCTTGACTGTCGGTTTGAGCCATGTTGGGAGATTAAGGCCATTTGGTTAAGGTCCACATGACAAGAGAAATTAGTTGTTGGAGACAAGATGATATGGCTCAGAATCGATGTCAGTGGCGCAGATGTATCCACACATTATCTCCATCTTAACCACCTTACTGAGTTCAGTATTTTCTCATTCTTCCGTCCTCTCTTTTATAGCTTTCCACTGCTTTTGGTTGATTTTAGTCTCTTTCTTCATCTTTCATCTTACTGCTTTGTTACTTTTTGCTCTGTCTTCTTTGCCTTCACCTCCTCACATTAATATTAAGCCTCTTACACCTTCAACTCTCACTCTGCGACCACCGCCAACGATCTAAGTCATCGAAAGGTCGTTCATAGTCTCCTAAGGCCTCGCTATCGGTTTCATAGTGGAGCTTTCAACGCCCTGATTCTAGTCAAATCGGACAGCAGGGATCACTCGCCAGAACTCTTGGATCTTCAGCTATTGATGTGTGCTGTGTCTCTAAGAAGCAGATGCAGGAACTGAGTGGGATTATTCACTTGACCTCTTCCGGTCAATGCAGTGTTTGGAAAACTCACCTTACGAGTGTCCGAATATCCTATCTCTAGCTCTCGTGAACTCACTGTTGTAGGCATAGCATTGAGAGTGCGCTTCTCGACTAGATACCATTCAATAGTCGTCTATGTGCTCTTCTACTGAATGGATCTGTAAGGACTAGGAAGGATCATGGGACTAGGCGATGTCTGTTCGTAATCTCCGCCCACCGATCACAGTTCGGATGATGCACGGGGTGAATCCTATGAGAAGCCGTCAATTTCGCTACAGAAACCAAAACGTTCAGATGCAGTCATAATGGCAGGTAACTTTAACGCTCAAGTGGGGAGGGTGAGTTGAACCAATCGGAAATGCATCTTAGGAGTATTTATGGAATCTTATATCAACGAACCGACAAGGGTGATCGTCTGTTGCAATTTTGTTCTGACGATCACTTGTTTCTGGCTAGCACTAACTTCAAGCATAAGGAGAGACACCGTCTCACATGGTGTCTGCCTAGTTCACACTAACGATGGACATAGGTAGGTCATATTACTATAAAGTTATCGTTAAAGAGGGTCGGTGGAAGATTTCAATTCTTTCTGAAGAAAGTGTTTGGACTTCAAGTGCACGTTAGTGCGAGTTCGTGTATGCCTCCGCTTTACTAGTCCCAGAATCTAGGCATCAGGAAAGTCTGTACATGCTTGATTAGAAGGTGAGAACCTGAATTACGTGTTCAGGTAAGCATTTACCTGAACGTGAAAAAATCCTCATTCTGGGGAAACGTGGCATCCGCTGTGGAAACAGCTGTAAAGAAAGTTGGTAACCCCTCACCCGAAAATTAGCAAACGTCATTGAATTTCCGCAACATCATCCTAGGTCATTTATGCAAGAGGACGAGTCCCAGCTGGCTCTGACCACAATGAAGACTATAAAAAGTTAAACGTAAATTTACGAAGAGTCTTTGCAACGATCGCAGGCAATGGTGGGTGGTGTGAGCAAGAAAGTCACAGAAGATATCAGCACTAGGTTAACACCTGACAACTATTTCATTTTAATAAGGATACCGGCAAGAAAACGACAGTGAGTGAAACCGCCACCGAAGAGGAATGAACGCTGATAACCTTTCAGGATGGGCTGCTAGAACGTTGGGCAGGACACTTCTAAGTATGGTTCAACTGGCTCACAGAAACACTTCAGTTGCCCAACATCCAGCTTGAACCTGAATGGCAAGTAAGTATTTGTCCTGAAAGTCTCGTTGAGGTTGAGAAAGCTGTTTCTAGCCTGAAACGATGCAAAAGAACAGGACCTGATAGTTTGCTACCCCGCATTTTTAAGGATGGTGGTCGAGAATTGCTGATTAAAGTGACGGGGTTACTAGGTAGTGCTGCCAGACTAATCTACTTCACTGATCACTGTAGTATATTGAAAAAGAGAGAAGTCTTGTAACAACCATAGGGGAACCAGTCTGACTAATGTCATGTCCAAGAACCTGGGATCCATAGTTTTCAGACGCCTTAGTGGAGCTCGAGAAAACCAGACCTATCTTATATGTGGATGAGGATGCGTTGATCATATTTTCACCCTCCGACAGGTTCTGGAACATAGGCATACTTACCGGCGGTCGATTTCTTGACTTAAAGGCGGTATGTGACTCAGTTGGTCGTTAGGTGTTGTCGCAATGTCTGACTGTAAAGAGCGTACCGAGAAAGTACAGAACGCTAATCGGAGCTTTGTGCTCGAACTCCAGCAGTGGTTTAAGGGCTTGTGGACATTTGTCATCTGAAGTAACGACAACTAGCGGTGTCCACCAGGAATGCCCACTCACCGTCCCTATTTCGTTTCGCTTTGGGTGTGCTAATGCACACAACCTTCGATACATCTGATTTGCAAGGGATTGGTCTATTCCCTTGAGGTTATTTAGTAAACTTGGAGTATGCAGACGATGTTTTCGTGATAGGCGGAGGTGTCGAAAAAATCTAGGATCCCTTGATCATCTTGAGCTGAAATATGTTTATATTTTGTGTCCGTTTTAAACATTTAAAGTGTAAGATGATGGTGCATGACTGGTCTTCAACTACTCCCATTTTAATACTAGGCAGTGAAGTGGTGGAATATGTTGACCACTTCACCTACTCGGGGAGCTGCATCCGCCTGAACGGGCTGATTGCTGACGAAATCTCAACTCGGTTAGAGGAGTCCCATTTGGCACTTGCTAAATTTAGTCATCTGTGGCGCCAACTGACAAGATATCCGACTATCTGTCAAGGGATGAGTATACTACACTACAATCTGTTTTTTTCTGTTATACGGCTGGAGGGAGACATGACTGTTAGAAGTAGAAGATATGAAGCAGTTACAAGGTTTTTATCATAAATGTCGTCGCAGTAATTCTCGCGTTTGGTGAAATCACCGTGTGAGCAATGTTGAGGTCAGGCGAAGGGTATAAGGCGAGACAGAGAGGTCGACTGATGAGGTTGTGAGCCTTGATCAACTGGGATGGCTTGCATATGTACTGCACATGCCGAGCCACCACATACCTCGATGTGCCATGCCTTAGTAAGTTGGATTAGGTAAAAAGAGGTTTCAGAGTGGCCAGACTAAGACTCGTCACCTGTGTATTAAATACTTGACTGTTGATCTAAGCCGTACAGGGAGGTGTAAACTGCCTGGCTGGGGTATTAATAACATAATAAAGTTTCGGAACTCAGGAATTTCTTAATAGAGATCCATTATTCAGACAGGTTTAACAAGCGGATTGTAATGAGCTGAGTTCCGAACGTTGATGTGCCCAGAGTTGTCAAAAGATCATTCTTTATAGCGTTGCAAATTGAGGACAATATTTCTAATGCCTGTATAATCCGTCTAACTACAAGCTCAAGAAATTCTTTACATTTTCTTTATGCATGCTTGACTGGATTGTTCATGAAATTGTATTTGCGTAGTCAGTTATTCTTTGTGTAATTTTAATTCATTTTGGTTTATCACCTGTGTAATTATTATCTGTCGACGTGGTGACCAATTTTGATTTCGCTTTATATTACTTCCAACTGTTCGATTATGTGACATATATCCTATCCCTATTTTTTGCAGTTACATTTATTAATTCTCTACGGGTACTTTAATTATGTGCTACAGTGTATCAGAACTACATATTTAAAAGTTGAGTCTAATGAGACTTCGACGAAAATACATATCGATTTGTCCTCTCAATGGTATCATTCGATGCTGTTACCTTTGAGAATGTGGGATGTATGTTACGTTTGTTGACCCGCCAATCTTCGTTTATAAACAATGCTAACTGAAGTAGTATTGGTTCCGAAAGAGATGGTGAACGACAGACAAAGATGTAGTATTAATCCATCAATCTTATAGCTGCTGATCTGGGATTTCTAGGAGGTTAGGCTTCCCGGTCCGCGTCCTTGATATGTTAGGTATTGGCTTCAACTCCCGTTGAAATGGTCCATACACCACACTGCAATTATGCAGGAAGTTTTACAATGATTCGTTGGTTTGCCTTGTTGTGACTCTGTGTGATTCATTGGGTTTGCTTATAAAATCACCAACTTGGTGTTGTCTAGTCTTAAGTGCTAGTCGAATTTTATCTATCATTTTGAAATGTAGTCACGAGGCTAGTTGGTTACCATCCAGTGAACAATCAGTGCGCCTAATCCAGTACTACAGGAGGTTAGTCGCGGCCCCGAATAGCTCAGTGGTGACGCCTCTGATTGGAGCACTGGGTGACGTGGGTTCGAATCCCAGACGGGATATCAGCTCCGTAGGCGTTGAGGATACACCTTGCTGATGAGTGCCAAAAAGCACGAAACCTAAGTTCAGGGTTTCCTGCCCATCGTCTCCATCCAACTAACATCTGTCTGAAGTGTATTGCAGTGTCGAGTCGCATAGCCTGGTGGCCACATTACAAAATGATTGGCAGAATTCGATCAGCACATAGGACTAGACAATATGAAGTTGGCTGCCATCCACTAACCAATCAATGAATTCTCTTCACATTGATCGGATTCATCAGATAATACTTACTAGTCTTCAAACATTTTGGTGCAACCTTATATATCATTGTGTACCATGTTGTTGAGTTGCAGTATTTTTATCATAAACCTTCTTTGATCTTGTAGATTGATGAAAACTTAATCGAAGATCATGGAGAGGTGAAGAGATAAATCTCGTCCAAAATTACATTTCTGTGTACAGCATTGTAATTAGTTCTCTTGTTTTGGGAATATAACTTTTTCTACTGCGGATTTTTTGTTATATTTTGTCCACTCAGTACGTAAAAATAAGTCATTGTATCATTAAATGTCCTACTAAGTTTTTGTAGACTAGTCATTATCGTACTCATTCTTGTGAATGATATTTATTTTTATTGGGAACTGCAAACTCTAAGTATCGTGGAAAAGTTGCTTGAT